GAAAGTGAGAAATCACTCCCTAGTGGGGAGGATGGCTACACCGCAATGTGGCTACACCGCAATCCCTTCTCCTCCTTTCTCCTCTTGAGGTCTTGGGCACACATGCACATGCACCCGGCATGAGTTTAAGCCACCAGGTCTGGGACTCAAACCGCAGTCGACCACGTGGGAGTCCAGGGACATAGCCATTACACCAACTGCTGGTCCCTCATCTGGCATCTTTAAATTTAGAGCCAGATTTGAAAAACCACAGGCAATCCCTTCATGATGGTTGTCCACTAGCTTTTTGCTTTTTTTTTTTTAAATTTTTTTTTTTATAAAGGTATGCAGTCAGGAACTGAAACCAGGCTACTGGCTGAGGTCTGGCTGCTTTAACCACTGTGCAACATGTCTTGCCCAGAACACAGGTTTTAAAAATACATGAAGAGGAATTAACACATCAAAATTAAAAAATATACTTGCCTTATGCCTTATGGAGATTTTAATAAGTTGCAGACATAATCTTGATCTCTAATAACAATTTCCAAAGGTGCTTCCTTATGAGCAAGCAAAGGTATACAAGACAACCAGACTGATAATGGACTTTTTAATTCTATCTCTTTTTTTTTTTTAATTGCCAGAGGATTCATTCAGGTGCTTGCCAGAGTAAAACAAACAGAACAGAAAGAGAGAGAAAGCACCCTCTAATGGGGGTATGGTTGGCCTCAATTTCTTTTCCCCCATTTCTCCATTCTGTTGGGATTTTGGACATGTACACAAACATGCTTAGCATGCTTTTCAAACTGCCAGAATCAGAATTTGAACTGTGGCCAACCATGAGATCTGGCTCCCTAACCACCTGGCTTTGGGACTGGCATTCTAGCATAGACTTTATGTTTCTCCTTTCCTTTCCCTTGTTCCTCCATTTCTGCTGTGTAATTAAAGACAGCAAAAAACATTGTGGCTTCAAAATAAAATGTCTTCTTAATGTTCATCATGATTTTCATGAGTATGTCCAAGATTTGAATTTAACCATTCAATATACATTTATAAGTGATATGGAATCCTAGAACTGTGAGATGAGCATACAGATGGAGATTAACATTTCTCTCCCCCAAGGACAGCAAAGCTTCACCCTTTGGTTGAATATTATTTGATATTTGAAAGTGAGCCAAGACTGTCTAAAAAATACAGGTTTGTCTTATCACCACTCAAACAATTATTTTATTTAGTCTAGTCTAAGAGGCTAAAAAAAGAGAAAGCAAATGAAAAAGAATTTAAGAAGATTCATCTTTGCGATGGTTCCTCTTCCTCATGAATGTAATGGGAACGTTGAGCTTATCAAACCTGGGTCCACAGATTTCTTGGTCCTCTAGAAATGCACAGTGTACGAGAGGTGGCATAAACTACAAACTGCAGAGTGGCAGATGCTTCAGTTCTCTTATAGCTAATGGACAGTCACCATGAAGGGATTGCCTGTGGTTTTTCAAATCTGTGTCTCTAAATTTAAAAATACCAGATGATCATTAGCAGGCCAAGTGTATTATGGGCAGAAAAATCTTAAATATGCACATTACCTAAAGAAAGAACCTAGCAATCCCCTTAGGGCTAGTAAAAGGTTGGACATTTATTAAGCGGCATTTATAAATCATGGAGACTATTTCCTTTATGATAAGCTTTGTTGTTTTTACATAGTAATGTTTGGATCTCAACCTTGCCCACTTGTATCAGAAAATCTAGGGTAGGATTTTGCTCCACACATCAATTTTTTAATACTTTCTAGAGGATTGCAGTGTCTTCTCAGTCATATGAACAATTGAATTAGATCCACTGGATGATTACTCATAAAAATATAGAAAGTCTTAGTACTTTAGTAACCACAGAAGACAGAGATTCAGACACAAGCGGCTTTACTTGTGAAACCTAAAACACTTTCAAGAAACAGACAAATATGAAATCAATTAAACTTTGTATAGCAGAGAAAACTTATTTTTTCTTATGTTTTATTATTCTTCCTAAGAAGTGAGCTAAATCTAATGTCCAAATTCACCTAGGCAATCACAGAAATAACTACATTTACAACAAAATTATAGACCAATCTCATGACCAGAGATGGTACAATGTGTTAAAGAAATAATATATCATGAAAAATAATTTTTATTCCAGAAATGATCTTATAGTTCAACACAAGGACATTCACAAATGTGACTGACTTTTACCTACATAAATTCATGACAGGGGGCACATCTTTTTATAAAACATTGATAATGTTATCAAATTTAACTGAAAAATAATTGAAAATTTTAAAATTTGTAAAACATAAGACAACTTCATTAATTCATTCTTTTGTTTTACCATAGGGTGTTTGCACTCCTCAGAGAGAGACAGTGAGAGGGAAAGTGAGAAATCACCTCAGGGAGCACTTTTCCTCCATTCTCTGCCTGGAATTTTGAGCATGTACATTCATGTGCTTGGCATGAGTTTTAAGCCACCACTACACCACCTGTAGACCCCCTTGTTATTTTTAAATAGGGGGTCATGCGCTCGCTGGAGAGAGACAGAGAGAGGGAAAATGAGAAATTATCCCTTGGAGGGGAATGGCTATGCCACAATCCCTTCTCCTCCATTGTCCTCTTGGGATTTTGGGCATGCACACACATGTGCTCATTATAATTTTTCAAGCCATTGGATCTGGGACTCAAACTGCAGTTTGCCAGGTGAGATTCCAGTGTCTTAATCACCACATCACCTGCTGGACCCTACTAATTCATTCTTCTTGTATAATAGTACTTTATTAAAACTCCTTTCTAAACATTTCTTCTATATATTAATCATTACCCTCAGAAATTGCCTCAGAGACAGTTTAACCCCAACCAATTTACCTCCACCTACACTTGGTCTATATCATGCTTTTATTCCCTATCCCATCTAATTTCAATTACTTTCTCCATTTTTCTTCATTGAAACTTTAGTTCTCTGTAATGCAGCCTGTGTTAGATATTTAGGTCTTCCCATTCTTTTTCCTTAGCAAAATATCTACAAAATGCTAAGGGGCTGATGAGGCAACACAGTATTATTTTGACAAGGAAAAAGAGAGGAGAAATGCAAAGCTAGAAACTTCAAAATTATCTTCAATAGGTGAGCAGAGGGTCAAAGAAGTTAATTATCATGAGTTATGTTTTACTTGGCTGTAGTAGATTAATGGTTAATAGCCTTATGGTTATTTGATAAATTTCAAAATAGCACTTAGTAAAATTCAGAACCTCTCATAATAATATATCTTAATTACAACTGAAATAAACTTCTTAAACACAGCATCTTATTAAAGAAGCACTTTAAAGTTTTGTAGAAAGGATCAAATCCTCTATTAAAATGGTCTCTTCAAGGAATAATAAATTCTTTAGAATCTCTTTTGGGGAAAATATACATTCTATAGATTTTTACCTCACACTACAAATATAATTTGAATAAATAAATGTTATAACAAAAATCTAATAAATTCTGTATAATAATAAAATATAGTGAATTATAATAAAGTAGTAATAATAAAGTATAATAAAGCTAAACAAAGTAAAAAAATATGGAAAGCATTTTCATAATTTTGTGCTGTGCAAAACCCACTTAAAAATACAAAATCTCTAATATCTACTGATTTTATTTTAGAGAGATTTTTGTCATAGGGTGCATGAACTAGCCGGAAAGAGACAGAGAGACAGAGAAGGCCAGAAAGTGAGAAATCACTCCCTGGGGGGATAGCCATGGCACAATTACTTTCCTCCATTTTCTTTTTAGGATCTTGGGCATACGTGCACATGTGCCCAATGTGACGTTATTTTTAAGGCACCAGGTCTGGAACTCAAACCTCAGTTGACTACTTGGGAATCTACCGACATAAGCATTATGCCATCCCTGGTCCGCTAAAATCTCTAATATCTTAAGGAAGGGATAGACAGATTCAAATGAAAAAATAATGAGAATCAAATAATAAAAGATGCCACAAAGAAACAAAAATGTAAACTAAATAATAAAAGAATACCATTTTACTTATTAACAGGACAAGCTAAAAGTGAATTGGCAAAGTAAACAATTAGTCTTCTTAAAATAGTAATTTGGTGCTATTTTCATTAAAGTATGCATAATATTTGACATAGCAATTAATTCCTAGACACTTTCTGTATATGTGCATAAATGTATACAAAAGGGACTTCAAAAATTTCATGAAAAATGAAATTAAACAAATTTATTTTGTTGCAAAATATTTAAATTTATATTAGTTTTTTTTCATAATATGCAACAGAGTTTTCAAAAATCCTTTCATATCTTATATTTAGTTGAAAACAATCTGAATTATCAGGATTTTTAGCAAGATAAATTGCTATCCAACTAGAGGAGACATTTCTCGGCCTTTCTTACACATAGAGATCATCTGGTAACTAAATTCTAACGAATAACATGTGAGTAGCAGTGACATTGAAAATTTTGAGGCGCATACTAAAGAGAAGCTACTACTTTTCATTTTTCTATTCTCTCTGTCCTACCCCGGGGCCAGATGAAAACATGGGGAAAAAAGAATCAGTTCATTTTCATGTAGTTGGGAAAAAATATCAAAACAAAAACAAAATACTCTAGCAAATGGAAGACAAAAAATAAAGAATCGACTCTAGGTTCCCAAAATCCATCATGGAGAGACCCTTCCAACTGTCCTTGGATTTTTATGTGGGAGAAAAAATACACTTTTCATCTGGTTTAAGCCAATGTTATTTGATTCCAGTTAAAAAGTTGAAACAATATCCCAACTAATGCAGTAACACACACACACACACACACACACACACACACATTGGTTCTATTACCCGGAAAAGTTGAAAACAGATCATTCAAAGCATTTAATCAGAGTTCAAATACAAGTTCATGTTCAAAACCCACAAACCTACGTTCTGACATCTCCACATTTCTGATGAAGACACGTATCTCAAAAAACTTGAAATTTATCTTAGTTGAAATTTTATCTTTTTACTAACCTCCAAAGTAAGAGCCATCTGTCAGCTTCATTTCTTTACTGGATTTTGTGATGACACCAGCAACACCATGTTGAATAAAATACATTTTTTTACCCACGGCTCCTTCTCGTATGATGTAATCTCCAGGTTGAAACACCTCAAATCTCAACTTGCTCAGCATGGCAGTCACAAAATTAGGATCCGCATTAGCAAAAAGAGGCATGGTAGCCACTAGTTTCCGACAGTTGAAGTTGACTATCTCCTAAAGATGACAAGAATAATGAAATATTAAAAGAGTTATCATTCATATTTGGAAGATGTCGACATTTAAATAAATATATGTTTGGGTGTGTGTAGCTTAAATTTAGGGCCAAAGATACATAAAGTCTTGTAATCTACAACACTTATAAAAGTCAGAGATCGTGTTTTATTTTTGTGTTCAAGGCTTGTATTCCCAGCATCTAGTGAAGTATAACATATGAAATAGTCATTAAATGCTAATTAAATATATAAAAGTTTCAACTCATAACTTTCCATTTCTTTATTATTCTGTATGTGAAATTAGGACTTTGAAAATGTGGACGTTTTAGTCTTCCTTTTATCTTTTATTTATGAAGAGAGAAAGTCACTTCACTTCCAATTAGCTATAACATTACTGCTTTTGTGCTTCATTGTGTTGAACAATCTAGCTTCTACCTACTGATGGGAATTCTGGAACAAGGACCCAGCTGCCAGACAAAAGCATTTTGATGTTTTTTGTTAATGTCATTCACATTACAACAAGGAAACTGAAGAGTGCACAGAAAGGTTACCAAAAGAGGACTCCAATCTAAAATTATAAATTCATTCTACGTCTGTGCTAAATCAGAAAATCACTCTTTCCAAAGCTTCTTAGGCTTTCATTGGAAATCTTAGACTGAAGAGATGCGTATTTCCATTTCCTAATTTGTTTTATTTATAATGTTAGGCCAATTCTAAATCAGAAGATGTGCATATTTGGTTTCATTCTTTTGACTCTGGAATAGATGAGACATATAGTTAGTCTCTCTGGACCAAAATAGGGATATGGGATTAATCATTGTTAATCTTGCAAGTCAGATATGTGACAGAATAGACACTGAAAATCTAAATTTTACCATAATGCCATTTCTCAGGAATTTCTTCACTAATGAACTCAAAAAAAAAAAAAAAATGGGTTGGGCCTGATTATACTGATGAGGCATGGAAACAAAAGTCACCTGCCAAGACAAGTGACTGCTAGGCAAAAAGGGGAGAGAGGAGTTTTTTAGAGTGGGAGTGGTGGTGGATCTTGGAAAGAAAACACAGACAGGCAAACCAGTAGAGAAAAGTAAGGATTGAGTGGATCGGATTTCTTTGACAGAGAATGTTATGGTTTGAGGTTTTAATTTATTTTTTTGGGGGGGGGGGGAGTGGGGGAAGGGCGAATTGGAAGGTAAAGCTAGGCGTCTTCTATTAGCTATTATCAACTGTAGTTGTAGACTATTTTGTATTTTGTTAATTTAATTAAGTTTTACCTGTCTTTCTCTGGGTGAAATATAGATTTTAAAAATTTCTGTTGGCTGTGTGGCATTGGCTCAAGTGAGACAGTCTGTGTTTTGTTTGTTTTTAAAGGTCACTACCGTTCAGCTCAGATTCACTTGCTCTCTACAGTCACCTTTGCTAAGAAGTGGGAAGAGGGTAAACAGAAATAGAGGTATTAAGAAAGTCTCAGAAATAATTCTCCTACTTTAAGGAAGTATCTTATATATGTTCCTCAGTCCCAAGACTGGAAAAGGTTTCCCTAATCTTGCATCATAAAATTATGTAATATTATTCCAGAATAAATTTAAAAAATCCCAGGTGGTGCAATCATCTGGTTCCACCTTGGAAGGAAAGGTGAATTCACAATGTACTGTTTCATCCTAAACAGAGTGAAGAAGTGTCTCTACTAAGAGGGCTTCATCAAAGACAATAAGATACTTAAAAGTCAGCATAATAATCAGAAATGAACACAGCATCAAAGACAAGAGGAAGATACTACATGTGGTCCTTGGAGCCACGTTATCCAACCCTGATATTGCAGTTGACTCTATGGCTTGCAGTATCAAGGGCAATTTGTACACTTATCCATTTTATCTGGTACTGAAGAGCAGCTGTATGGGTTGTGTGGCTATAACACTGTTCTTCACATGGTAAGTGCTCAAAAAATATGCAAGCATATTGAGAAAAGCAGGAAAGAATGAAAGAAGGGAGAAGAAATGAAGGGAGAAAGAAAGGAGGAAATTTCAGCCATAGATGAAAAGAGGCCACAAACGCTTGATTTTATTCTTACTGGGAGCCGGTTACTTACAACTCTTAGAATACTCTCTCAAGCGAATGGCTTTGGAAACAAATCTTGTGTATATAAAAATGTGCTTTTGAAGCAGTGAAGCGGTAGCACCTCCATTCTGAACTCCTCTCTATATTGGAAACTAGCTTTCTCCTTTTGCCTAGAGTAAATAGAGTGATTAACACTCCTACTGTCATTGTTAAATAACCCCAAACTCCCTGCCTTAAGATGTTCCTTAGTGATATAATAATCAATGTCATCAATGCTGAACCCCTTGCCCTACCCATAAAGGTCATGGGCATTCCATTGTGTTTAAGCAAAGGTCTAGAGATGATTAACTGCTCCATCTGGCTTCTGTAACCACTTATGCATAGGAATCACCACTGCTTCCCTTGTCACCTCCCCCTCCTCAATGAGTACTGCTTCTGCCAAGTCAAAACAAATGTGGTTTTGCCTTTATAAGTCCCTTTCTTCTAACACTCAGGGCTGCAGGGTTTTTGAGAGACATGAGTCCTCCCGCAGTCCCCAGCCTATTAATCAATAGAACTCTAATCAATTTGGCTGTGCCTGGATGTCCTCTTATTTCTCACAGATTAGACTATAACACTTTTTTCCTACTCAAAAATATATCAATTTGAACAGGAAAAAAAAAAAAAACCAGAAGATTGTAGGTGAAAGGGAGTTAGAGGAAAACAGAGATATGTAATTATGAGACAAGACTAGGTGTTTGAGAACGAATGATTTCACATGTAAAATGACAAAGAATAATACTATTGTGGGAAATTGAAAATAATATTGCAGAGAAAATAAGGGCTTTTAAATAAAAAAAAGAGAATTATTTTATCTGTGTGCTTTGATTTAATATGTATACATTTTTCACTTCATTGTTCTCTTGCTTTTTATTTTAGAAACTACCAGAAGTATGTTTTACAAACTCTTGAAATGGTCTTTATTTCTATGAATAATTTTTTAATGATGCATTGCATGTTTAGGTATATAGCCATTAGAACTTCCTTGATTATAATACTGCAAAGTAATTTTATATCATTTTTACAGTTTGGAGAAGTTTACTCATTTTTTTCCTCTCTCTGCGATTTTATAATCTTCTTTGCATAAGGAAAATTCATGAGACTTATAGCTCCATTCATTCTTTTGTGAAAAAACTCAGACTCTTTCCAAAGCTTCTTAGGCTTTCATTGGAAATCTTAGACTGAAGAGATGCGTATTTCCATTTCCTAATTTGTTTTATTTATAATGTTAGGCCAATTCTAAATCAGAAGATGTGCATATTTGGTTTCATTCTTTTGACTCTGGAATAGATGAGACATATAGTTAGTCTCTCTGGACCAAAATAGGGATATGGGATTAATCATTGTTAATCTTGCAAGTCAGATATGTGACAGAATAGACACTGAAAATCTAAATTTTACCATAATGCCATTTCTCAGGAATTTCTTCACTAATGAACTCAAAAAAAAAAAAAAAATGGGTTGGGCCTGATTATACTGATGAGGCATGGAAACAAAAGTCACCTGCCAAGACAAGTGACTGCTAGGCAAAAAGGGGAGAGAGGAGTTTTTTAGAGTGGGAGTGGTGGTGGATCTTGGAAAGAAAACACAGACAGGCAAACCAGTAGAGAAAAGTAAGGATTGAGTGGATCGGATTTCTTTGACAGAGAATGTTATGGTTTGAGGTTTTAATTTATTTTTTTGGGGGGGGGTAGTGGGGGAAGGGCGAATTGGAAGGTAAAGCTAGGCGTCTTCTATTAGCTATTATCAACTGTAGTTGTAGACTATTTTGTATTTTGTTAATTTAATTAAGTTTTACCTGTCTTTCTCTGGGTGAAATATAGATTTTAAAAATTTCTGTTGGCTGTGTGGCATTGGCTCAAGTGAGACAGTCTGTGTTTTGTTTGTTTTTAAAGGTCACTACCGTTCAGCTCAGATTCACTTGCTCTCTACAGTCACCTTTGCTAAGAAGTGGGAAAAGGGTAAACAGAAATAGAGGTATTAAGAAAGTCTCAGAAATAATTCTCCTACTTTAAGGAAGTATCTTATATATGTTCCTCAGTCCCAAGACTGGAAAAGGTTTCCCTAATCTTGCATCATAAAATTATGTAATATTATTCCAGAATAAATTTAAAAAATCCCAGGTGGTGCAATCATCTGGTTCCACCTTGGAAGGAAAGGTGAATTCACAATGTACTGTTTCATCCTAAACAGAGTGAAGAAGTGTCTCTACTAAGAGGGCTTCATCAAAGACAATAAGATACTTAAAAGTCAGCATAATAATCAGAAATGAACACAGCATCAAAGACAAGAGGAAGATACTACATGTGGTCCTTGGAGCCACGTTATCCAACCCTGATATTGCAGTTGACTCTATGGCTTGCAGTATCAAGGGCAATTTGTACACTTATCCATTTTATCTGGTACTGAAGAGCAGCTGTATGGGTTGTGTGGCTATAACACTGTTCTTCACATGGTAAGTGCTCAAAAAATATGCAAGCATATTGAGAAAAGCAGGAAAGAATGAAAGAAGGGAGAAGAAATGAAGGGAGAAAGAAAGGAGGAAATTTCAGCCATAGATGAAAAGAGGCCACAAACGCTTGATTTTATTCTTACTGGGAGTCGGTTACTTACAACTTTTAGAATACTCTATCAAGCGCATCGCGCAGTGAAGCGGTAGCACCTCCATTCTGAACTCCTCTCTATATTGGAAACTAGCTTTCTCCTTTTGCCTAGAGTAAATAGAGTGATTAACACTCCTACTGTCATTGTTAAATAACCCCAAACTCCCTGCCTTAAGATGTTCCTTAGTGATATAATAATCAATGTCATCAATGCTGAACCCCTTGCCCTACCCATAAAGGTCATGGGCATTCCATTGTGTTTAAGCAAAGGTCTAGAGATGATTAACTGCTCCATCTGGCT